AGACACAAATTATCTTTATATGTGTGTAAATTTATATCTATATATTTCATAAATACCGTATAAATACCTTTTAAACATTATTTTAAAATCATATAAAAACTTTGTAAACCTTATAAAAAACCTTAAAAAAGTCTTATAAATGGCGTTTAGAACCTTTTAAAAGTCTCTCAGTAGTAATGATGATCTAGATGTACCTTATAAACTATAAACTATATAAAAGTTTACAATCTTTCATATTTTAAATGGGGTATTTTTAAAAATGGATTGAAAATTGGTGTATTTTTTAAAAGGGGTACACCAAAAGGGGTATTTTCTCAAAAATTCTCTTTCAACTATTAACCTAATTTTTGGTTTTGTCAGTTGTAGGTTTTAAAATTATAAGGGTTATATGTTGGTTTGAGTTTATAAATGCGCACTATAGTTTAGATTTTATAATTAAACGAAATTATTTATTGGTTTAGGTTTATAAAAGAGGAGTGAGATTTAGGTTTTACAATTAAACAAAGTTATTTATCAGTTTGGGTTCATAAAGGAGAATTAGGATTTACATTTTACAAATAAAATAGATTTTGAGTTTAACTAAATAAACAAGCGAGGTCGATTTAGAGATTTAGGCATTTCGTTTAAGGCAGCACGACGTCGCTTGTCCTTGTGATTCTCATTTTTTGACTTAACAGAGATCGATTAACGATCCTAAACGACTGTTAACTCCTCTATTAGAGGATTTGATTTGACAACATGTTCAATCTGGCTTAGTCAACAGAAGATTGTGATTTAAAAATAACGTCAACAAGAAGTCTATGATTTTAATGGCCACAGTGGAAGTCGAGGATTAAAATGGCCAAAATTGGTAATGTATTATGCCATTGAGCAATTTCATTGTCTAAAACATACGGGTGAATAAAATATATTCAAAAATAATATTTTTAGCTTAAATTAAAGAAAACAAAAGTTCAATATAATTTGTAATATATTAATTATAAAATATTTGTTTAAAAATATGTAATTTTTTATAATTCGTATTTGAAAGATTTTTAAATATTTTTTTCAACGATGCTATAATTTATTTTAGAATCTTTATGTTTATTTTGCGTTGTTTATATGAACTTATTTACAAGTGACTATATTTGTATTTAATATCATATTTTAGATTGATGTTAATTTGAAAGAACTTTACCATCATATTAAATAATAATTAATTAATTTTCATAGTTTGAGAATGATTTTTTGAAAAATTGAAAGTTAAAAAATAACAATTTTTACAAAATGGTATAATCATGTTTTAGAGGATAATTGCTAAATTAAGATTTTTTAAAATATTTTAGCAATAATATGAATAATGGTGAATAGCTCCCAAATAGCTCCCAAATGTTTTGGTAATTGACAGTTTGACATTACTAAATTTTTATAATTAACATATAATAACGAATTTTAAAATATATATATATATATATTATATATATACACGTTTATTTGATACTTCAAACCACATAAAATCTCTTTCCAAATGAAAATAATTACTCTTATTTTTTCAAAAAAAAAAGATTTTGAAATTATTTTTTATAAGTTATAATAAATTTTAATTTTATTTTAATTTAAATTTAATTTTAAATAAATATAACCCGTCCATCGGACGGGTACTAAACTAGTATATATATATATATATATATTTGTATAGGTAAAGATACTTGATTAAGCATAATTTCTATATTCACTTTTCGAATTAGGGAAGGTTTGAATTTAAAGTAATACGCAATTGTTAACTGTAAATATATGATGACTCAAAATTTGCTTTACTTGATGAGTGATGACATTTTGTTGTGCCATAGAGAGCCATAGAGAGTCATAGAGAATTAATACACATGCACATAAAACCTCATGCATAAGCCTTTCTCATAAACAAGAAAACAAAGTAGAAACTTTAATTAAAGATATTAGATAAATTAACTAAATTGAGTTGAATTTTTTAACATGCCAAGTAACTTTTATATTTATTTTCTTGGAACTTTTCTATTATTTTTGGTAAGAGATTTAGGAAATTTTATATTATTTTTGGAACTTTTCTCTAGTTTTAATTTTGATGTGATTGGTTGTTTTAATTGCATATCTAGATATTTGATTTTCTCTAATAAACAACAAAAAAGTAAAATACACGAAAAAGAAAAGGAAAACATTAGCAAAAAATATGTAATTTTTTTTTAAAAATGGTCAAATCATATTAATACTGATTTCATACACACTAAAAAAAATCTAAATAATAATCAAAAATATTGTTATCATGTTAATTAGTGCTATTTTTGGAAATTTATAGAGTGTGTGCTATAATTGTCTACAATACTTGGTTTAGTGCTATTTGAGGGTATTTCTCTCTATTATATTACCTACCAATAACTTTTTTCTTTTTTCGATATACAATATGCTATCAGATATATAAATAACATTTTACAAATATAAGTAACAAAAAGTATAGTTTCTAAGTGATATCAATTAATAAAAAAATGTATCATTTTAAAAAATGATCTTAATTTTGTATCATTTTTTAAGTGATGTAAATAAAATTATAAATACATCAGTTAATTAATTGATGTGATTTCATATTTTCCATGAATATTTTTGAAATGATGCAAACCATTAAAAAAATTTATATCATTTAAACTGAATCGATGTCAAATATTTCAATTATAACATCAGTTATTATAATTGATGTTTAACCACATATTTTGTATCATTTATCAATAAATAATTTAAATTAAAATCATTTGTTTGTATGATACTATTTAAGTGATATAATCTACTCTTTTTCTTGTAGTGTAAATATGTGACACCTGAAGGTGACAGACTAACATAAGTCGACGAATAAGTCGAGGTCTTATATAAAAATATTGATATGAGATATAACTATAGAGGTTGGTTGGCAGGTTAGTTTATCATTAGTCAAAAAAAAAATCATATACTAAATATTTCTAGTAACTATTAATTTGTCATGTAATTTTTTTTACTTTTATTAAAAACTATTGTATCCAAAATGACTAATATAAAAGTTTAGATTACTTTGCATTAGGTTTCTTCAAATTACGGTATATTAATTCGAATTAGACTCTTCATTTCTGGATGGTACGTGTGTGATATTTTTGTACTTCACTCTAATTGACCTTTTTACCAAATTTTTAATTAGCCATAACTTCAAATTTTATTTGGTCTAGTTGTTAAAATTCGTTTTTATTTGTCTTAGCAGAAATCAAAACATATATATATATA